ACAAGAGTAAATTCATGAACTAGAATGTGTATATTACTATCTAATATCAAATCAAACTGATGATCATGAAAAATGTGGTGAAGTCAATCCAGATTGTTTAAATTTACGTCTAGAACAAATAACTAACCATTTACTCTCAGCTTTGAGTATGACTGTTATCTATAGCTTTCTATTCGTTCATAGAATCATTGTATTTCTATGATCATTCTACTTATATATTATAATTAGCTAACATGATTTTAATCACATTTTAAGGTTTGACATGATAAAGTTTGATTCCTTTATTATTAAGACTAATGACTATTTCTTTAATATCTATTCATTACGTAAAACAACTTTCTTATTGAATAAAATCCAGTCAACAATTAATGTATAAAGATTTAAAATTGTTATAATCTATTCGACTTAAAAATAATCCAATTCTGACAGAAAGAGACTGACTACATCATCCGCTTAGCACCATTCTCCTTTAGTAATCCAATTAAATTCATATTAGATTGGAACCATATTAAACGTAAGTTAATTAGACGAAATGAACAATGAACCATTCGCTTATTGTTATTATTTATATTTAGTGAGTATATATATAAATAAATTAGAGAGAAATATCACAAAATGGCACGTGTCACATTTTTTTGTAGAGAAACAATCATATGCAGAATTACCATGTAATCCTCAAATCAATAGTAGTTTACTGAATTATAAACAGTATGTTTACAGTGGTTATAGCATATAAACTGGGGGGGAAAAACAGATTAACAGTTATTTGTTTACAAATATATACAATCAATGAATGGAATGACAAGATGAATAAATATTGAATAGGTAAAAGACAATGATTTACTTAGTATTTGTATTACAAAAAAAGAACAATATTTACTCCAATTACTTTCAGTTTAATAATTACATAACATACCATATACACTTAAACAAAATAATAATTAATGAATTAAAGTGAAATGATTTCACGCTTGATATATTGAATTTATCTATTTATCAATCAGTACCTATTTCTTCATGTTAATCCTTATTGATAATTTTATTCACATCCAAAATAACAAAAGTATTCATATCAATGTATACAATAAAACATTAAACAAAAGGTAAAAGGGAATAAAGCATTTTTCTTACTCTCAGAAAGAAAATAATAATAAGATTTAAGTAGAATATTTATAAAGATTAATTGGTATGGAAAATCATTCTTTTTTCTTTTTAAGAAAATTAATTGACACATGCGCGCGAGACTGATAAGTCCTGGGTTCGAATCTCACGGGGAGTGGGATCGTGGATGAGCACTGTTGAGAAGTCCCATACTAGAACGAAACGGCCATCCAGTGCTTTCAGGTTTTCCATAGTGATCTAGCTTCAATCAACTCACGATTTCAATTATTGAAATATATCATATGGTTAATAAGAAATACTTACTATTCACCAATTAAAAATAAGAAAATAATTTTGAAAATGATAATTATCAAAAGATTTTATTGATATTTTTATAATTTGTTGATTGAGATCATGAACCGATTGATGTTAGATCATCATTGAAAATCTGGAAGCATTGAACGGCCATTTCTTCTTATTATGGGACTCCTCAGCAGTGCGCATCTACGATCCCGCTCACGAGATTCAAACCCAGGAACTTCGACCTCGTTTGTGAATGCCTAACCTCTAGACTACTGAGCCAGCATCTAACGGTGTTAATGTTATAACTTTTATGTCATGTCATACTGGATTAATTAGAATGCTATGACACAAATCCAAAAAATGCGCAAATAAATTATGTCAACATTGAGGAGGTTAGTATTGATATGAATAGTTATCAGACAAGGAATGATTTTTACGGTTTAATATAAGATAGATTCTTGATTAATCAAAATAATTTAAAAGTATAGATCGACTAGTTACATTTATGCAAAAATGAGTTGATTGATTATATGCCTCCCATCATTAACGTGTTGAAAATAAATGATGAAAATCTGCATAACTACTATTAAAACCATATGAATTATAAGCGCATTCTTAATTTTTCTTTGTTAGAAAATATTATGTGCGGATTAGTCAGGGATTACTAGTAGGTGAATAAGATCAGATATTTTTCGATTTGCTGCACACTATTACATCATTAAGTAATTAGTAATACGAAAGGAACATAACTGATATTAGTTGAAGTTAAACATTAACACCGTTGGATGGAGGCTCAGTGGTTAGAGATTAAGCTCTCGCGCACGAGACTGATAGGTCCTGTGTACGCATCCCACGAGACGGGGTCGTAGATGAGCAAAATAGCGGATGGTTTACATTGACAGATAATTTACTTTTGTCTTCTCCTTATCATCCATTCAAATTAATTATTTTTTTAAAATCTACATATCGCCATTACTTAATTAAAAAATCCTTTGATAGACTAAGTTAATTGAAGTATGCCTTCACAACAAATTCTTATCATCTCAATAAACCCGCATAGCTATACTTCAGACAAGCAGTAACTTTATGAACTAGTATTATTATTTGGTATAGTCAAAAAATATTTTTCAAGACAGTTTTCTACATTAGATGACGTTGTGATATGATACAGAATTTTATATTGTCATGTTTACATTTCTATCAACAGATTAACCTCATTCGTCAAATAATACATTTTCGAAATAAACATTTCTAGTCATCAAATCCCTTCATACACGAGAAATTATCCAAAAGTACTTATAATCGACCACGTATTCGTTTATCCTGCCTCCAGTGTCAGCATCTAACATTAGTAAGGTAGGATAAACTAGAATGATATGCAATATAAGCGCCTATTGAAAGTCCAATATTTTGTCAACGCTACATGTTGATAAATGTCAAATTATGGTCTCGGATGTATTGGAATTAACCTAGCAACTCAGTGTTAAAGCAACTACTTGACAGCTTCACATACTATTTCTGCATAAGATGTTGAAACGGACTAATCTTAAAAGATAACTTCGCAGGTAAGTAGGCCAATTTCTAAAACCCTGAGGTAAAACAGTCACGTTCACCAGTGGTAGGCAAATGACTGTTGAGTCGATGGAAGAATTTAAAAAAGAGCTAGCAGATAGATAAATTCGCTTATTACTTGTGTAAATGTTACAAGTCCTTCTTACTGATAGGAAAAATTGCTTTCTTTAAATACATGAAAATAGTATTAGGAACTGGCACGTTTGGTTATTTTAGAAGATTTGGTCAACGAACGTTTATAGACGACTAAAACTGCCCGATTTGTTGCCCCAGAACTGAAATCAAGCATCATAATGTCGGAATCTGAATTCATACCTCTTGGATCAAGTCACGAAGAGACTGTAATTGTACTACTGCATTACAGTCACTAAGGTGTAAGAACGGAGGAAGCCATGAATTAATTTAGTTAACATTCTATTGAAGATTTTTTAAATAACTGTAAGATGTAAAGCTCAAGTTTGTCCAAAATTTAAATGTGTCGTATTTAGTCGATAAAGAGAAATCCATCATGTATATGATATCTCTTTTAAAATACTGTATATTGTCAACCTGTTTTTTGTAAAAGACATTCACTTGACTGGATTTGTCTACATCTCATCAAACCTAGGTTTAATATAGTGTTGAGTCGATAAATTATCCGGAAATCAAATATACATGAATGTAACATACATTTTTGGTAGTAAAGAAATAAATCAAACAGTTTTTCTACACAGCCGCTTATTTGTTAGGAGTTGAATCATTAAACAAGTTAAAACTGGATCTATAATAGTAAACAGTTATGATAACAAACTTCTCGATAGAACACAATCCGTTAATTCACCGGTTCTATGATAAGAGGGTTATTGATAAGTAACAACAACGTAAGAATTATAAAACACATAAGTATAAGATTATGTACACCCAGATAGGATAGTTATTCATTTTCATAATTCGTATTAAAATTGATTTAGAACTTAAAAATCTACGACCTACAAATTTAATAGTATTCTCTTAATATGACAAATTAGTCATCTAGCAAAGAGAGTAAGAAGTAGAATTTTCAATGGTAATTCAACATATTTGTAAGTGTTTCCCGATTCTCTGTCAGTTTCCATTCCGTTCAAAATAAATAACTCCTCAAATTCTTCCCTTAAAATTAGTTTTGGAGCAATATGTAATTTTTACATAATCAACTAAGTATTTGAGAAGCAGTGTTTCAGACGATAAAATAATAGAGTGAATTATTTCTATTGGCAGAAAATTAACTGAATTAACTGCAGTATCATTGTCCAAAGAAAATCTTGAAAATTCACATTACTACTCGTTAAAAGAATAAGTAGGCGAAATGTGTATAGGAATTTTATCAAGACAAGCTTCGAAATAGAATTGGTCATAAAATTGGTCATGCATTTGCCAATTTAGCTCTATTCCTAACGGTAACCTAAGCTATCCCAGCTTAAAAAGTATTGGATTTGGTAAGGCTTTAAGATTAACTTGTGATTCATCCTACTTTGTTTTCAAAATGCGAAGAGATCATGAAGTTCGTTCATAACTACATTGTTTGTAGTGGTTCTCAGGTTCATAAATGAGGCATCAAGAATTTTCACCTATAAACATGATGTTGTTTTTTTAAGCAAGCATGAAGAATAAAACTCAATTCGGGGTTTTATGTCACTAGTTCAGTCACATAAACAAATAATGATGTACTTTATCATCTTCTGATCAAAACTTCATTCACTCATGTTTAGCACATAAAATGTATATCGTTAAAAACTGAAACCCTTATGTATAACAGAAATTGTCCCACTTATACAGACGTTTTGTTCACTGGCGGCAGAATAATTGGAAACATGAAGATTAAGCACATGACATATTGTGGTGTTACGGTTTACTTAACACTCAGCTGTTGACTACTAAGTTCCAGACCCAGATCCTTGAACTTGAATTTGTGAAAATGAGATGGCAGCACATTAAACCGACTGAAAACGATCAGTGAAACCATAACGTGCCATTCGAAATGTGAGATATATAAATCAGTATAAAGTTGATGAGCAAATAAGTTGTATTATATTACACTACATACTCATTGATCGAAATGTGCATTAAAGTCTTGTTTATACATCAGAAAATAACGACGACTGTTGATAGCCTGATCCAACCATATAGCTTCGAGGAAAAGATTGTTTCTGAGAGCGTACAGCTCAGGAAGTTTTAACTTCTCAGAAGTATTGGTGCTGTTGACTGAACATGTTCTGTTCTTCCCAAAATGATTAAACGTGTATTGGAACTGACTTAAATTATCTTCGGATTCACCACATTCCGATACTATATTTCGAAAAATTTGTAAAGCTTTCTTGAACCTTGTGCGAGCCAGAATACCTCGAATATGAGCTTGGAGCTTGACTATACTCTGTATTTCCGCTTTAAAAATTGAATAACAATATATAACAACTGTATACCATTTGAAAGATCGCGCATTACATAACACGGTTTTACTGACCGACACAGACACTGGTTAGCAAAGACAAGACCCAAAGTTCCCTAGGAAAAATCCAACTATACTTCAAAGCTTTTGTGGTGAAATCTAAAATCAAATACAGGATAAGTTTTTATAACATCAAGTGAATTCATATACGTTTTAAAATAGTTATCAAGTGAGGCCTTGTAGAAGAAAAAACATTAGGATTTAAGTTATAGACGTATCAAATAGCTGTTAATAATTGCTTCGATTATTTAATTTCATTGTATAAGTGTCAAAACTGACCATTCTACAAGTATATCTTCAAGGGCAGTTATGTTTAAAATGATATGATTTACAACAGCTGTAGAAACTAAGCGATTTTTGTATGGAGTTTACCTGTATCGTACCTAATAAAACTACGATTTCTCATTTTATGTAGTTTTATTAACGTCTCGAGTGGGCTTGGAAGGTTATTAGATTTACCAGTTAATTTGGCGTAATGCTCATTAAGCAGAGTTCCACTTTTAAGTAAACCCGTTAAATAATAAGAACCTCTTGAATAATGAGGTTTCGAGTTGTTCCATACAGGTTTGTTTTTACTTAGAAAACCATTTGTTACGGGTAAATGTTGAACAAAACACCTTTGTTTAAATCCTATTATTTAAAGCTAAAACATGTCAAAACTTTGCAAGTAATACGCCTACTACAAAACATATGAATATTTGAAACACTGATAGAAAAATTTATTTTTACATATTTTAGCAAAACACTTTGTAAACCAACATTAGTAAATTTAGGACAAACTAGATAAAAAGTGATGGACGACAGTTTCGTACCTTAAAACACTGGAACAAGGAATAAAAAAAATAAGAGAACAACAAATGATTCACAGTCCACTGGGGTAGGAATGAAATTAAAATTTTCTTTACAGATAACTAAAAGTGGTCAAGTATTTTCATTTCAGAAAAGTAACTTCGATTCAATTACTTTAAAATACAAGGGTATTTCCACCTCGGATTTCTAAAACGCAGAGTTTCACTGAAATTAAATTTAGAAAGCAGTGAAGTTCGTCTCGAAAAAGGAGGGTGAAATAAGATAAAGAGAACGTTAAACGGATTCGGAAGTGTACATATGCTTGATCTCTGTAGTTTGATCCTTGGTAAACGCTAGTCAATGTCCTTAAGTGCATCCCGATATTTATTTATTTAAACGCATAAATATTGGTACAAAAGGGCACCGAATACATATACGCCACAAAAGTCACTTGATTTATGTGAGGGCTGGGATATTGTCCGATTGCCCAAACCAAGCAAGTGGTTTTCTTGTTAGGCCACGCCCTAAGTCTTTGATCTAACGGTTCAATCCACAAGGCAGTGAAGCAACGTAAGGAGATGCAATCCCATGTTAGCTGGTGACCAGCAATATGTTTAGACGCCACTTATTTCCTTAAGATCCTGGAGCCCATGTGCACTATCGGTATGGAATCAGGGTTTCACAACTCCCCTAGGTGGATCCTCCGTATCCACCATGATATGCATAGATCGGGAGGTCGAGACAAGCGTGCAACTAGAAATGCTGAGTTATCCTGCATAAATACATTCGGAGATCTAAGGTATTTTTCTGGGACTAAACTTGCAAACTAAAATAAGGTGTCACACAGTTGTTACGAAGGGATTTAAGATAACTGCAACCAATGCGTAACGTGTTTGAAATGCCAGGAATGAAGATATTTGTGGCACGATGAATAGTAACTGTCCTTGCAAAGTTGTATTTAAGCAACCGTTTCTTTTCGAAACAATGCTAGAAAATTCCGTGACAAAGTGCAAAGCTTCTTATAAAATCTTTAGAAGGAAATGCATTGAAAACCGTCATAGTTAGTAAACATGAACAGCAGCAATAGCTCCGTTTGACTTAAACTGTCTTATGTAACTAAAAGTGGTTTAAAAGACTTTCTAAAACAGAGATTGTTAACATCCAGACGCCTAAATATAGACTGGTCGGGTCCGACACCTATCAGTTTGCACAATGTTCACCATTGGGGTGAGTTGTATATTTTTCTTATTGTCGAGAAAGATAACTCGCATTGCGCGGCAACAGGTGGAATAAGAGGACTTATATTTACGTCCAGGTTTGGATAGATTGGTGCGGGAAAATGGGTCACAAGACCTATTTTGAACTTATGTACACCACTTATGTTTATGCGAGCTTAAAAATCCGTACCATACTCAAAGATGAGTTGACTGGTTGAGCAGAAACCAGGTCATCGGTCAGTGATTCAGTAACAACGTAGAACTTCGTACGTACGTACATCAGTTCGAGTTGCCACACCACATTAGCACAAACATGCAGTCGTCAATTCAAATCCCATAGTGGAAAAGGTAGTAAAAGTATAAGCAGTAATCGGAAGGATTAGGGTTTGAAGATGTTATTCAAGGAGTATAATCCAGTGAAATAAATTTGGAAAAAGGAAAAAAATGGACATGAAGAATTCAGAAGATTAGAATATGGAAGAACACAAAGATTGGATGCACCTGCGCCATTGCAAACGATTTCGAGCCATGTCATTCAGTCTCTAACCATCGGTTGCTATCATCTCGCGGTCCCCAACCAGGTAGTCTACACCTACCAACATGGCTCAGTCCACTTTTCAGTGACTTCATGGACTTGTGCCATGTTTCGGTCTGGCCACCCCTAGCTCTCTTGCAACCTACTCCTATACCACTGAACATCGCACGTCGAGGCAGTTGGTGGTTGGGCATACGTAACAAATGTCCCAGCTATCTCAACTGATGAAGTTTCACTACCTCATCAATTGGTTTGCCATCCTTACCTAGTACCCGTTTCCTAACAACGGCGTTACTTACTCGATGGTCCCAGGATATACGAGCAATGTTTCAAAGACACCTATGGTCGAATACTGATAACCTACGAATATCCTCTACTCTTACCGGCCATGTTTCACAGCATGTCTACGACAGAGTTAAACAAGAATGGAGAGGGTGGTCATACACGTTTTTGTGACCACTCACAGCTTTTGAGTGCTTGTGACTTGTCGCAATATCAGAGGTAGCTGCTTGATGTGTGCTTAAATTTTTCTGAAACTTAAAAGATTTCAGAATTTGACAGTCGCTTCGTTGATACTTCGCTTTTTAGGCCAGTTTCCTACGAGATTACCCTTTTTCTACATTCACTTTTGGTTTTGCGTTGAGACTTCATAACATGCTTGTCTGTTCTTACTGTACAAAACGATCACAGGATCCTAACGACTGGACACAATGAAAACTGGATCACCTGGACATTTGCTTTTTCTTCCAGATTTGGTAGTATAAAGCCAAAAAGTTTGAGTTTTCATTGGCAGGGGAAGAATGTCTGTGTCGATTAACTAAAGATAGATCTCTTTGTATCTGATCTCACTAACTAAAATCCGATTTATCATCTATGTTTCATCCATTAACCTTTGCAGTGATACCAGTTCCCGTCGAAAAGATTTCCTGGAAACATCTTAAAGTCAGTAACTTTCCAAAGTTTGGGGAAATATTAAACGAAATCCAAAGTTATCTCAAATATTCTGGGGAATCCCTCACAATAATTTGAAAGTTTAAGGTTTTGTCGCCTCTCTCCAAAAGTTTCTACTGCAGCTTTTTCAAAGTTTATCCAAAACTGATAAAAATTTAACCCAAAATCGAGAGATCGGCCCATTATACAGGCATCATATGGGAGTTACAATTCAAATTATTAGCTTATTTTACCTTTGAATATGTGAGTGAAATCGAAATAAAATTAATGAATAATATATCTTTGTAGCCAAGAATACTTTTCTACTACACAAATGCAAACGTTAGGTAACAAATAACTTAATCTCCGAATTTCAGGGAAACTTTCATCCGTTTTGAGAAACTTTTATGGAACGTTCCAGTACTGGCACAAAAAACCCAAAGTTTACCCAAGTCTGAGGAAACTCCTCAAAGGTTTTGGGGAAAAATTTAGGGTTTACCACAATATTTCTCCGGAACCTTATGACATTTCGAGGTTTTCCTCTAAAATCTCCCTAAGCTTCCCAAAATCCTGATTTTAGGGAAGCCGCTATAGCAAACTTGGTGGAACTTTACAAGAAATGGCACAAAAACGCGAAAATTTCCCTAGATGCAGGGAAATTTCTTAATATTTCCCCAAAATTCTCCTTTAACTTCAGTGGTGGTCATTTGACTTTGGAGATTTCCCCCAAATTCCCCAAGATTTCCTCAAACTTGAGAGATTGGGTTTGACAACAACTACCAAATTTTTCCCGACTTTCAAGAAAACCCCAAGATTTACCCGAAATTTTTTTCAAAACAACGAAATTGTGGATAAAATATTCTGTAAATTAAATCCATTGATGAAATTTTTTACCATTCTGAACATTCACCTGTCACTAAATAATAAAATTTCATTTTCATTATAAAACACTATTGCTTTCAAGTTGGAAATGGACCCTAGCTTACGCTTATCAATATTGGTGACGGAGTAAGACCGCCTTTTGTTGCGTGCGCCAAACGTCTTAAGTTGGCATTAGTAACGAATTTCAATTTCGACCAATACTTTGAAGGTATTCAAACAAAAGCCAGTATTATTTTTGCTATGGAGGCCATAGTTGAACCTTGTACGAATTATTTTAACATACTCGCGATCTTAATAAGTCATCAAGCTCAGGTTTGTTTTCTAGCTGTAGAATACATCAATTCCCCATAAAACATCTAATTGACAAACTTCGATCGGTGCTCAATAGTTATTCCGAACTTAACGAGTTGTTACTGAAATACTTATTTGTAGCCAGTAGTTTGACTTATCACACCACAATGACCTGAAAGCCTGGTTTTATTCTTAAGCACGCTGACAAGCTAAGAACGTCAAAAAAACAAATTCTACTATATGCTGGGTTTTAAGATACTCTTTATCTTTGATGGTCAGTAATACTTGTTGCTGACCGCTATCCTTGTATTGAAGGACAATGACTTCCCCCTGACGGTTATCATGGATGACCTAATTAAAACCAGTTCAGATACTTATATATTGGTGCACATCTGCAACTTGTATATTACTTAGAAATATATGGCCGTATTTTTGAAAATCCTCCTTGCAAAAGCTTACACATGAATCCATGTGATCGATGAAACACCACAGAACCGTCGTTTTTATTTCACCATTGACCAATTAACTTTTTCTATTGATGAAAGTATCAACATAGACCGTGATATGAAATGCTTAACGATTTCAAAATTCACTGTCTTTGAGTACAACCCTAAAATTCTCATTAGTTCCATCGTAGATATATTCAAGACAGATGTTTATCCTGAACATTGATGATCTATTTCGAATTATCGGGGGCCTACTCTAGTTAGAAAGGAATGGAATGACCAACAGCTAACCTCTAAGTCACACCTCCCGGTCAGCATCTAACGTGGATTACCTTTTTGTCGTATCAAGTTACATGGATGCTCCGATGACCGCACAACACAAGTGACGTTATTACAAAATTATATTAATTAGAGTAGATACACCACTACATGGGCCAGTCCCTGGCGCGAGATTTATTTATGCGCGTTGGTAGTCCTTGATCTCGATGGGAACCGATGAACCGTTAGATCTTCAGTGACCAGATGATTTGACCAAGGCCCAGTGAAATTTCAGTGGCCCTACACAACAATCATTGTTGTTTACCAATGATGAATAGATAACAACTGGTAATCACTCAAATCCTTCGGGGGACAATCGTAGTATATACAATCAAAGTAAAGCATTTCGTAAAAGGCCAAGAATTCGTGATTTATAACGGGTGTACATCTTTGACATACTTCATTGAAAAGACCTAACAAGCACTCTCGAGAGACATGACAATTCTTTAAAAAACCTCATTCCACTTCATATTTATGCCATATTTCTTGAACGAACAATTCGGTAGAAGGTGCTTTGTGATTAGTAAATTCCCTTAGTCTTTTCCAAGAAATTGATTTTATTAAAATGGTCTAATCCCACAAGTTATACAACTAATCAGTTAAAAATCGAAAATTCTAGCTGTGCCTGACTAGAAAAGATAAGAGTGACAGTCATTTGGTTCATTCAGTGGCAAAAACTACCAAATTATGTACTCAGTGTATCACCTCAACGTCTTTAATGCGTTCGAAGAACCATCGAGCTCACCAACCGATAATTTTACTTACCTGAAAACAATGGGTTGGACAGCTGTATAAATGGAAAAATCATTTAGGTAACAAGATATAACAAATATGTCAAAGGATTTCGTCGTGCTAGATGTTCGTTGGATTCATATTCATCAATAAATCCTGTTATCTTTAACATGCGTTGATCGTTTCATACGACACGCTATATGTATATTAATACTAAGACTCTAAATAGCTCTTCGGATGATTTATCCCGAAATGTAGTTTCAAAAAACAGCCCACAAGTCAGCATTATGAATGAATGACCTCACTGACAATTGGAAGTATCCTTCCCATCTGTAAAAACGTGTGATGTACTAAAACTTAACTTATTTACAGCTCAGCCGCTCAATTTTCAGAGGTCTTTTCAGGGGACACATTTTCGGTGCTTGAAGTAGACTTCACTTCCTTCATGAGACAGGTCCTAAACGTTATGCCTTACACTTAAACCAATCTGAACGTGATAAACATATGTCTTTTTGCAAACAACCATAAAATATAGTACACACATCTCAGGACTTTGTATTGACTCCTCGAAAGATACACAAGCTCGCCGATAGACTGGAAGTAGTACATGTCTAGAATATGTTTCCATATGTTTCCGATAAATATAGAAATAGTGTAAGTAACCACGGGATTACAAACAGTAATCAACTGCTGGCAGGTAACGTCAATTTCTCGCAAAAAGTTGGAATCGATAAGTTCTGAGTGGTTACTTGTGTTACATCCGACACTGGTTTGATAGAAGTGTGATGTGGTAACTTCTAATGAATTGATGATGAGACATAAATTCGAAGATATAAACAGACAAGTTATATTTGTGCGTTGCAAAACACCAAAATATCGTTCGGCATCACAATAATAACAATAATTTTTTTAGGAAACATCCATGTTTTAAGCTTTTAGAGTTGATTAAGGAAACAAAGGTAAAGCGGAAATCAGATGTTTGAGGTCGAAATTGTAACAAATTCATAACTTCAGTAAAATAAATACATCGAAACCCAGCAAAAGATTGGCAACGAATAAAATGACAATCTACAGTAAGTCGAAAACTGGGTTTCTCTCATAACACTTATAGGGCGTGCAGTGAAAAAGCTCGAAAAAGCTCAGGACTTATGAGAAATAAGCTCTAAGAACAGTCTTTTATATGTTTCCTCCTTATTTTTCAAGCCCTCCGCAATAACCAAACATAGTACCAGAGGGAATGAAATAGAAACTGTCTTTTAGTATTCATCGCACGATTTCACAGTATAAATGAAAACAATCAGACTCCACCGGACATTGCTAACCGTTTGAAGGCTGTTTGCCGACGTGTGCTTGTTAGGTTTGAAGATTTCGCTGACAACGTCCAAGGTTTCGCATTATCTTTGTAGTGTGGCAACGGACTTCGGGTCTTTTAAACTTCGGAAAACATGTGATTTTGTGGACGTTAGACATTTATGCTGACTTTGCTAGTTTCACTGTCAGTCACTCTGAAAACATCGGTCAGTCATAATCTGACTACTAAATGGAACATGCTTTTCCCTCTTTTGACTGGTAGTTAAGAAGCATCACATCCGTCTGCCACTATCGATGGTAAAAATACCTTATTTCACCAACGCCGTCTTTATTCTTGTTTGCGTTCTAGGTAAATTGCTGTGATATACTTGGAAACCAACAGCGTTCGATCCTGTCATATTCACAGTGTTTTTACAGTGATTTATTTTCTTTCCTGACAACGACAGAATAATTGGTTGTAATTTTTGTCTATGACAAAAGAGCGTTTTAGACGTTCGTAATAACCGCAGTCCTGCCCACAGTTTAATCCCCGGTTACGTTAAATTTAATTACTTTTGTGTATTGTGCTCTACTTTTATTCAAGTGACTGGCTTTTATTACTGTTAATGGAAATAAAAGGTGCTTATATGCAATCCAGACCTAAAGTACCAAAAGTGAGATTAGAAATGTTAATAGAGCACTCAACGTCTACTACTGACTCCGAGATACTGTTAGCCAAATTAAAATCAGTGGAAATAACGTTTGTCGTTACTAGGATTCCAATGAGATCATTGCCCAATTATTGAACGTTAAAACATTTGAATTGACATTAACATTCTTAATCGTGTATTTGCCTTGACAATGAAAATGTGGTGTGATACACTAGTTTGTAATTTACTAACAACCTTATATTATTACGTATTACATGCTTATGGGGAAAAAACTGAAGTCGATTCGAATGTGCGTAAGAGATGTGAAATGAAAAATAAAGTTTGCCAACTATCATCGTAACGTTGCTTGAGCTCTCTAGCGGACCATGTAGGAAAAAACTACTGGTGTATAGTTGCCTAGTAGTGGCCGTTCTTAAGCTGGAAAAACGGTTGTCTTCATAGAACTTAAAGTTTCCATGTTTTTAAGCTTACTTCCTCCTGACCTACGACGTATTTCCACTTTATTTACAACACATCCAAAATTAAAATTCCCGTTTATTATTATGACAACGACCCAGAGGCGCATGCTAAGAGTAGGATGTGTATAATTTCCGGTTCCTCTGTAGGGAATAATGGATTCTATTTCGATCTGAGTTCCATTTCCGTCGTTACATTGTTTTCTTACAATGAGTTTCCTTTTGTATTATGGTTGTACACCCATTTTATTTGGTTGCCTTATTATATTCACCTCTTGTTTTTCAGATGGTCAAGAAATGTTAAGTCACTCTCTCGCGTGGTGTCTTACTCTGCTAAATCTGGACATAAGTAACGTGACCGCTCGGGTTATGTAGTCTGACGTCGAAGTTATGTCACCTGATAATTGCCAAACTTGGCCGGGCTATTCTTCTTCCTTAATATTCATAGGAACTGAGTCGATCTCAATTCATGAATGGTTTCCTTAAATGGTGAGATGGAGAAATTGGTAATACATAGGAACAATGATCCTCAAATACTCATCTCTGGTTATCCTTAGCCTTAATGAAATATCTGGTAATGGTTTCAGAGGTAATGACGGTTCGGATTGATGTTTGATTTGGTCTAAGTCTGATGTTATTTCAATAAAACATGTAGCCCCCTGACTTATGTCTTTTCAGTAATTTTATTGATACACAATATGATTTATTAAACTACGATGTAGGATACGGAAAACCTACTCACTTTACCAAAAAGCGTATTAGTAGTTATTTTGGCGGAGGAATCGGTTTATTTGCAGTTATCTTTAATCTGCGGAACACAGCGGCCCCACTTATTTATATTGTACATTGTCTAGTCTGACCAGCACTGTTTCAAAAATAGCGTATACGCTGCTGGTTTTTGTTCTCTGTACGTCCTTCTGTTCTCGTTATCATTTACCTCTTAACTACTAGTTATTAGTATTTTATTACCTTATGGACATGCAAAACCGAATTCAGTTTGACGATCACTGCGTCTACTATCGTGCCTAATATCTGGCAGTGCACCAACAAATCTGTTAACTCACAATTCTCGTGTTTAGGATATCTTCTGTGTTTTTAAGGCTCTTCATTCTATCGAGAAGTAGTTCCTGGGCACGAGAAATATGGTTGAAACTTTGTGGGTGTCTAATTTAGGGGATGTGAATTCACATCGGAAATAAGTAAATGACGTACCATTTAAATAGTACAATTACAATTGTAATTGTGATGCTGAGAACTTACTACCAGTCCCGTTTACTTATATGTTTATCACGGCGTTGAGGGGTGTAGTTTCTAAGTATACTAAGGTCGTGTTGCTGCCTGTACCGGGGTTTGTGTGACTTTCTAATTTGGTCGGAAGCATTAGATGGCGTGACCCGAAATTATTTGAATAGGGACATATGTGTGTCTTAAGTTTTCATATCTACAATTCTTCGTCCTTTCCGGACTGCTTTCCCCATATTCAGGTTCTCACTATGGTTAATATTGAAGGATCATGTTACTTTTACTACTTTCATTGTGTTAACTCTGTGATGGTATAGAGTTTCACAACCAGTACTTATGTACTCTTCCAGAAACAAATTTGGATCTCTATTTAAACGTTTGATCTAGATGGTTTTCGATTAAGCTTCAGTAGTTGTGTTTTGAAAATAATGATCCAAGATAGACTCGCTACTTTTCCTATTTGATCACCAGAGCATCCTTTTTGTTCCTGGGTTACTTGGTGGATGGCGGTATAATGATTCATTCTGAGACTTTCTCGAGATCTTACTATTGTAAAGTGTCTTCTATAGTTTAGCTGGTATACTGTAAATATATCCTGTTATTCTTAAAAATATTTCATAACATAGATTTTAACGTGTAGATCGCTTCTGAAAATTGGTCTAGAGCTTTATTTTTTTTATAATATAGACTTATCAGTGTACATCAATTTAAGCTTACCGAAAGTTAAATCATTATAATGAAGAAACTGTTTGTAGATTCTGTACACTTATCAAGTTAAGTTCAATTTGCAAACATCTTGACTACAAATATTCCGTTTTCGTAAGTGGTAGGGATACGAACTCCTCTCCCAAATATATTGTCTAGATAAGGTAGAAATTTTTAGAGTTAATTTTGCTTCTAATATAATCCCGAATCTTCCAAATAATTCGTGATTACCACTGAAAATAATTCCCTAAAATGGTTAATTTTAATAGCGTTATAGCTTCTGGAGTTGTCTTTCGTCAGTGGCACGAAAACTAAATCTAAATAGGTTCGATATCTAAAAAGTATGTTGAATATAGGTTATCAACTTTAAAAACTCTTGATGCGTCTAGAGTTCTGTGCCATGCCACAAAATATCTACGAGCACTAGTTTTTTTGTGGAAGTTTCGTTTCAGTTTATCAGAACTACAAATTTCACACCGGCTAACTGTTATCACTTATTCATTTAGGCACTCTAGATATTTGTTTTCCATACCGTAGCTGCTACCTTGACGCGGTGGTCGGGCTTACCTATCGTGATGACCCAACTGAGCTATATTGGCTGGAACATATGTTCCTGTAGATTCTACCATGCCAGGGAGGTCGGTTGGAGAACGGTAAGACTAAAGACAGCAACTCATGATCTGAGGGCGAAGTCGTACTGTTGACTGTAAAGGGGTGTGACAACAGTAAGGCGTTTCCCCCGGACAACCAGCATCTGCAGCGATGCTGCTTTCTTACGAGGAAGGAAGTGGTTAGAAAAGGTTGACCCTTAAAATGTTACACCACGGATTTCCGTTTCCGGCGGTAAGGCCCTTTGAAGAACAGACCTAGCACATCAAAAACTCCTACGAAAAGGCCGTGCGCGACCGGCCTCAAGCAGTTGTCCCTTGGGCTCTTCTGTCACGCTCCCAGGTCTTCAAGGCCAACATTAATCCAACTTCCTTTTCAGGTTCCTCAAGAAATACCCTTCCACGGTGTGGGCAGCCGGAAAGTGACATCAGCCCTCATACCTGTAACAGCACACGAGACCAAGTTGATCACATCCAAATCCTTCCGACACCTCCCAGTACCTCTCTTATCTCCACGACTGACCCTTCTCATGTCCCTTTATCATCTCGCACCGCTATGCAAGCGATTCGAGTACGCGGAAGGTTATTCCTGGTCTTCTGAAACCACACTCTAAACTACACGTAGGAGCATTCAACGTCCGAACACTGTGCTGAATAGGACAGCAGGCTTCCTTACCTAAGACTTTAGAATCCCGCGCCATCGATGTGTGCTGCGTCTCCGAAACGCGCATACAGGATCCGAGTAGCGTCATCCATTTGACCTCACCATGCCAAAATAAAGAACTGACTCGATTCACACTTCGTGTATCTGAAAGCCCTGATGCTGTTCCTCGTGGCCTCGCCGGCGTAGGTATAGCATTGAGTCCTAGGGCAGAACTAGCTCTCTTAGAGTGGATCCCAGTAGACAGTCGTTTGTGCGCTGTCCGACTAAACGGAACAGTAACGACTCGGAAAGATAGGGACACTCGTCGTTGCCTCTTCGTCGTTTCTGCCTATTCTCCCACTGACTGCAGCTCAAATGATGTAAAAGATGAGTTTTACAGAAAGCTTTCCCACCTTCTCCGAAAAGCTGGACGCTCTGATGTAGTAATAGTGGCTGGTAATTTTAATGCTCAAGTAGGTAAATTAAGTGAAAGGGAAGACACCTAGGTGGATCTTATAGCGTCGTGGCTCAAAGGACAGATAATGGTGACCGTCTGTTGCAGCTATGCTCAGAAAACCGCCTGTTTCTTGCAAATACTAGCTTTAAGCATAAGTAAAAATATCCTTTTACATGGCGACCCCCCAATTTGTCCCAACGTTGGACCCAAATAGATCACATCGCTATCAGCCACCGATGGAGGGGCTCCATAGAAAACTGTCGCTTGTTCCGGAGCACATGCTTAGATTCAGATCATGCTCTAATGAGAGTGCGTATTTGTCTTCGTCTTACTGGACGTTATTATTTATTTATTTTAACACATAGACATTGGTACAAGGAGGCACCAAATACATATGCGCCACACAAATCCCATTCGATATGTGTGAGGTGCCTAAACCGAAGCAGGTGGTTTTCTCAGGGGGCCACTCCCCGAGCCTTCGACCTGAAGGTCTGCTCCACAAGGCAGTGGAGCATCGTAAGGAGATTCAGTCCCATGGAAGCCGGTGACCAACAATTGGTTCATACGCCATTTGTTCCCGCAGGATACTGGAGCCCTTGTGCAACATTGGTTTGGAATCCGGTTAAAGCGCCGGACATTCGCTTTTCGTCCTCTCATTTTCGTAAACAACACCCCCGCCACGAGAAGGCAGTGAGTAGGACTTCCCTGGCAGAGGCTATATACGCGTGGCCATGTGAGAGCATTTCGAGAGGGAGAGCGGACGTAGGAAAGACGCTGCAAAGAAACCTCTTAGGGCCCTACTTAATGATAGTCAAGCCCAGAGTATATTTGAGGAACAACTAGAAAAACAGTTGGGCAGCCGTGTATGCGATACCCACCCTGAGGCAGCATGGAATGATATTCGAAAGGCTGTGGAAACAGCAGTGATATCTGCTAGTATGGTAAACCAAAAGGATAGGGAGAAACACTGGTAGATGCATGAATACTCATCCCATTTGGCTCTGAACGCAACGAAGAGCGGAGTCAGCTTAAGCGCAAGCTGACAAGAAGCCTACGCAATGATCGTGAACAATGGTGGGTAGCGAAAGGAAGAAAGATGGAAAAGGCAGTGGCAATAGGTAATAGCAGACAATTGTTCAGACTTGTTAAGGAAACCGGTATTAGGAAACCGACTGTTAGCGAAACACTCAGAGAAAGATGGACATATTATGCATTCTCAGTCCAGGAGATTGGATCGACGGGCAGAACACTTTAGGGATCAGTTCAACTGGCCTTCAGCCACACTTCGCTTCCTCACGATCTCCAGTCAACCTGAATGGCAAGTTAATGTAGGTCCTCCGACTCTTTACGAGTTGAAAAAGCTATAGGAAATCTGAAGCGAGGGAGAACAGCAGGCGCTGACAGGTTTACTCCTGAGATACTTAAAGATGGTGGTCCAGTATTAGCAGTGAGATTAACTGAGGTCTTAGGTAGAATTTGGGAACTGGACGTAATTCCATCTGACTGATCTCACTACTCGAACACAACTGGTCGAGTGAGAGCTTATGGCGAACTGTCATCATAATTGGTTACCTCAAGTAGTGTTCGTCAGGGCTGTCCACTCTCCATTCTTGTTTAACTTTGTCGTTGACGTTCGTTTAGAGATAACACTTTCCTCATCTAAATTTCCAGGGGTTGAACTTCTACTGGGAGATTCACTTTTTGACCTAGAATATGCCGATGACATAGTTCTATTTGGTGAAGACGCTGACAAAATGCCGAGTCTTCTGATCACTCTAAGCAACAATGCAAGCATGTTCGGGATGCGATTCTCTCCCTCGAAATGCAAAATGTTGCTTCAGGATTGGGTTGCATCGACACCCGAACTAATAGTAGGGAGTGAAGTAGTTGAGCGTGTCGACCGCTTCACTTATCTGGTAAGTTTCATCGGCCCTTGTGGTCTGGTGTGTGACGAAATCTCAGCACGGATACAGAAGGCTCGACTAGCTTTCGTCAACTTGCGTCATTTATCGCGTAGGCGAGATATCTTTCTATCAACCAAAGGACGTGTTTACTGCGCAGCAGTTCGTTCCGTCCTACCTAATGGCAGTGAAATATGGCCGGTAAGAGTAGAGGATATTCGTAGGTTATCAGTATTCGACCATAGGTGTCTTTGAAACATTGCTCGTATATCCTGGGACCATCGAGTAAGTAACGCCGTTGTTAGGAAACGGGTACTAGGTAAGGATGGCAAACCAATTGATGAGGTAGTGAAACTTCATCAGTTGAGATAGCTGGGACATTTGTTACGTATGCCCAACCACCAACTGCCTCGACGTGCGATGTTCAGTGGTATAGGAGTAGGTTGCAAGAGAGCTAGGGGTGGCCAGACCGAAACATGGCACAAGTCCATGAAGTCACTGAAAAGTGGACTGAGCCATGTTGGTAGGTGTAGACTACCTGGTTGGGGACCGCGAGATGATAGCAACCGATGGTTAGAGACTGAATGACATGGCTCGAAATCGTTTGCAATGGCGCAGGTGCATCCAATCTTTGTGTTCTTCCATATTCTAATCTTCTGAATTCTTCATGTCCATTTTTTTCCTTTTTCCAAATTTATTTCACTGGATTATACTCCTTGAATAACATCTTCAAACCCTAATCCTTCCGATTACTGCTTATACTTTTACTACCTTTTCCACTATGGGATTTGAATTGACGACTGCATGTTTGTGCTAATGTGGTGTGGCAACTCGAACTGATGTACGTACGTACGAAGTTCTACGTTGTTACTGAATCACTGACTGGTATTTGCTTGAGTTTTTCCTCTATTTGCTGTACTATTCAGGCTGTAATGCTGAATAACTTAGACTTAGATTCCAGTGGTTAACGCTAATTTAATTATTTTATATGTGCCTTTGCTGTGAAAGCCCATTTGTGAATAAAAGTTGTTTCCATCACACGGTCCGATAAGTAAGAGTTAGATTTTAGAAGCCTTACTTAAATTCACATGTGACAGGTGGTACTTTGGCCAGTGTGTTTTTATCTTTTGTTTCCAGTAAGCATATATGTTGTAGGGATTATTATAGAGCTATCCTTGACTATATGGTGAATAACATAAGAGAAACGACTTGAGGTTATTTGTAACCGTAATACAACTATAATTTTTACACACTTTAATCGCATAGGTCAATTCATCTCTAGTAATGACTACTGACTTTGCAAAATGCAATCCTAACAATGTCGATTCATCGAACGACCTTCCTCCGGAAATTGATAACGAAATTTTAGAAGCAGATCTTGAGGAAAAACAACGCCTAATAAGTCAGGTAAGCTTTTGTTTCTTTATTTCCATGTTTATAAATTGCTTTGAGTGATTACATAGAGACTGTAATTACTGAAAATAGGTATTTTCAAACGAAATTTTTGTGACAAATGTTCAAGAGACATTTTCAACCTCTTTTTTCTTTGTGGAGAGCCAGGTTCTCTGGGGGTACTGGTTATCCGTGGGAAACATCCTGTTCCTATCATACATCAGTGTAATCAACTCTCATACCTGCTTTGTGTTTTACAATCTGCCGACCGATCTACTTGTCATTGTAGGATATTAGAGAACAAGTATTTCAGTCAATATAGTTCAGTTGAATTGTCGCGTTAAGCAAGCCCAGTCACTACGCCAAGTTAGCATCTATTATTTTATGGATGTAAAAATACAGTTAAATTGTTTAACAAAATAAGTGACACTAACATACAACGTTTCCAATGTTTTGTGTTTTTAGAATTATTGTTGCATCTCATGTTGTGAATCCCCATTCAGTATCTAAATGGTTACTTGCTCAAGTCAAAACTGGGGGCTCCCGAACTGCGCGTAAAGTCATGTTTGCACGCATTAGGTCCACCTTCTAAACTTTTCAGATCTTCATAACTAATATTGATTTTATTTGTTTTTATGCTTTTTTTATCATTTTGTTCTAAACGAATGTAGATTTTGGAGCTACAACATACACTTGAGGATTTATCCACACGGGTAGATGCTGTGAAAGAAGAAAATTTAAAATTACGTTCTGAAAATCAAATCCTTGGCCAATATATCGAAAATATGATGGCAAATTCATCAGTTTTTCAATCAACATCACCACGTGTTGATGAAAATAGGTCACGTACAAATAAAAGAGTTGGGAGATGATTATAAGAAAATGTGATATATATTACATACAATAAAGTTGGCTAGAAATGCTGAAGGTAAAGATGAGGATAATTAAATTCTTAATACTTCATTTGCCCTAATTTTTTTGGGACCTGATAGTTCTGCGAATTTCAGAGTTTTGAGATCACGACAGTGATAATAATATTTGCAATTTTGGATTTCAGCTATTTTCTCATCTTCGAATGTTTCTCTTCGTAACTTTTTAAGCTGATAATCTTTGTTGTCTTTCTACTGCGCTTACACTAAACAAAGCACTTGTAATAAAATTAACGATAATATTAGTCATGTTAACATGAAGGATGGCTTTCCTGTTGTTTTTAACTTCTTATTTTACGATCTTGTGATTTTCATTTTATTACATTGATACGCTTTTAGTTTTACCTCTGCCTGAAGAAATTACATATGCATTTATATGTTAGCAAGTAAAGTGTCAATGCTGTCTGCTTTCTTTTCATGTAAACAATATTGTAATAATTTAGCCCAACGTATCTTATCATCAATAAGTGAGTTTTTCAGTAAATCTATTTGATTTACTATGTAGGAGAATTTCTAGGTGACGGAACGTTTTTGGAACTTCTGGTGTATCTCTTTAGTTTTTGTTAGTGTTGCAATGTAATGTGTCGAGTTTCAGCTAACCGTTAGTCAACAGACAATCAGGTTAAGGCGCACTACTTGTTAAATAGTCATTTAATATTAGAATCGACGATATTATTTGGCATTTTCTTATTCAGTTTGGGAGGATATGATGAAAACTAAATAGCTATTCAGTAGGTTTCAATATACTATATTATAAAATCAATTCTTTTGGGTACATATTGTGATGAATTCCAAATATTTCGTAAAACTTCAAGATCTGGGTAAGCTTGAAAAAATATAGTTTAATATCAAGATTCTTAGTGCTTTAGTGTAGAGCTGTTATGGAGTTTCTGATACATCTAAGACTAAGTGACAATGATCTGCACCTAGCGAGGCGAAAGTCCGCAAGGAACCCCAACTCTTGAAGCGCTACAAATCACCGGGCCCAGATGACTTACCTCCGGCCCTTTTTAAAGATTTTAGTGACTTTCTGGCTAAGGAACTGACAGTTGTTTACAAAGGTCTGGCAGTTAGAGTGTTCTAACATCATGGAATAAGTAGATAGTTGTCCCTCTCTTTAGAAAGAGTTCACGTCGTTTCTGCAATAACTATCAGAGGATAAGTCTACTTCCGATTGTGTCCAAGCTATTGATTTCCGTCATACTTCTCAGATTGTTGAAAACCTGAGAAAGATTAAATCGAGAGGAGCAGGTGGGTTTTCGTTCTGGTTAAGGATGTATTGATCATATCTTCACCCTTTTCCAAATGCTAGAATATCGTCATACTTATCACAAGCCAACAATCATAGCGTTACTTGACATCAGGGCTGCCTTCGATTCCCTGGACAGGACCGTTCTCTGGGATTGTCTATTAAAGAAGGGTTTATTAACATCTTGAAAGCCCTATATACAACCACCTCTCTCCACTGTCCCATTCAAGCAGTGGGGTTAAGTAGGATTGCCAAATCTCACCATTCCTCTTCAGCTTTGCCATCGATGACATTCTGGAAACAGCTCTGATGAATGTAAGTAATGGTGGTGTGGATCTGTTGCCTGGAGAAAGACTTCTCGACCTTGAGTATGCGGACGATATTGTCTTACTGTGCGATAATACCCAAGGCATGCAATCCGCACTTAATCAGTTGGCAATCAGTGTCCGTAGGTATGGTATGTGCTTTGCACCTTCCAAGTGCAAAGTACTTCTACAAGACTGGCAGGATTCTAACCCTGGATGGTGAGCAGATAGACGTAGTTGAGAAGTTCATGTATCTGGGTAGCTGCATAAGTGCTGGTGGGGGTGTGAGTGATGAGATCAATGCACGAATAGTGAAAGCCAGAGCGGCTCATGCCAATCTGGGCCACCTTTGGCGCCTTCGTGATGTTAGTCTGGCTGTAAAAGGCCGGATCTACAACGCGTCGGTGAGAGTAGTTTTGCTCTATGCTTGTGAAACCTGGCCTCTCCGAGTTGAGGACGTTAGACGACTCTCTGTGTTCGATCATCGCTGTCTCCGAAGGATTGCTGACATTCAGTGGCAACACCATGTCAGTAATGCAGAGGTTCGGCATCGTGTGTTCGGGCACAGAGATGATAACTCAATTGGTGTCACCATTTTGAAACACCGACTTCGGTGGCTTGGACATGTTCTACGAATGTCGTCCCAGAGAATTCCACGTCGTGCATTATTTGCCGACTCTGGGACTGGTTGGAAGAAGCGGAGAGGTGGTCAGTGTATGACATGGTGTCGTGGGATGAAAGAAAGCTGCAAATGACTGGCTTGTGTTGGTCCTTCACGACTCCCTGGTTGGGGTCTGAGAGATGGTGCTACACAGTGGCTAGAGACGTTGTCAGATATGGCTCAGAATAGAAGCCAGTGGCGATCCTGCTGTAACCTTCTTTTACTTTCTTCATAAAAAGTGGTTGTGTCTCCTTTACCTGAAAGATTTCTTCTGATTGTACCTTTTCGTTCCACCGTTACTACCACACTACCTTACTCCAATCTCTTCGTCATTGTTCTCTTTTTCTTTTGCGCTCCTTAGTTTTTTTTTCTACTTCTCTTCGAATTCTCATTGTTTTGTGTGGCGCATATATATTGGCTTTCTCTTGTACCAATATTCATGTGTTCAAATAAATAAATAAATTTGATTTATTTAATTCCGTTATTCGCCAACACGTATTGAGTCGATAAGTATATACGAGAATAGCCGATATGTATATTTCAATAACATTATTATGATCCAATTAGAGTCAGATATCGGGCCACTAAAGACTCACTGTGTTTGGTCATCGTTTTCTCCGAAGGATTGTTGACATCCAGTGGCAAAACAATGTCAGTGATGCAGGCTCAGCAACGTGTGTTCGGGCACAGCGTTGATAATTCACTTGGGGTTACAATCTTGAAACATTAACTTTGGTGGTTTAGACACAGCCTACAAATGTCCCAGGGAATTTTACGTCGTGCATTATTTGCTGACACTGGAACTGGTTGGAAAAGGCGGATAGGTGGTCAGTGTATGATATGGTGTCGTGGTATGAAAGAACGCTATGCAGGACTTGCTCCTCTTGGTTCTACAAGACTCCCTGGTTGTGTGTCTTGCAAATGGTGGATTATACGTTGTAATTGAGAAAAAAAGAAAACCACCTTTGAAATTACCACTTTTCAAGAGTGCTCTAAGTCAAGGAAAATTTAATATAGTTAAAGGGTTTAGTGTCTTTTATTTATCTACCAGTTCCTCTCTACTTTTTGACTTTAACTGATATAAACATATATACCGGTTAAGTTCTGTTGATAATTACGTCGGATAATCACCAAATATGAAAGGTTACCGGGATTTGTATTGTTCAACCACATGTTGCCTCAACAGGCGATGTTGTGGGGTTTAGAAGTAAACTGGAAGACAGTCGGTCAAGCCAATACATAGCATTAGCCCATGACGTCATTGACTGTTGAACTAAACCCTATTGATAGGTTCATGCTGCCTGGTTGCGGTCCATACAGTTATCATAGTCAGTGGTTAGAGACAGGCGACAAGGCTCACAATCGACACCTATCTCGTAGATTCATTTGTTCTTTGGATTTGCTTTAGATCATGAGTCTCAAAGTCGTGTAAATTTTTTGTGCCTAACTTTTTACACTACTACTGATATCACTACTGTTGGATTTGTTTGAATAATTAAATCTCGTTGAGGTAATGTAGTATGGCAACCTGAACCAGTGCATAAATGTGCCAGGTTTTACTTTGTACATAACTGACTGAAGTAAATGTTAACTAAATATGAACTAACGAGAAATTAAAACTTTAAATCTTAGTTAAATCAACGTAACGAAACGTTCAATACTTTAACTTATTTCTCAATCATAACAATTCTCCAGAAATGATTAATCAAAGTTGAAATTCATTTAGCATTGTTAATAGACTCAATTAATTGTTCGGCTCTAGACTTGTGTTAATTTTATGTGCAATTATTATCTTCGCACAAATGTCTTTGTTTTTTTTTCAACCAAGGAAACACTTGACATGATAGTCTTAACTCAGTGGATAAGTGAAATGAGATCATATTTTTTTGTCTTTAGGATACATGCTGTCTGCATTTAATACTGTATGTAATCAGAATTAAACTAATAGGGATTAAGGGTTAGCCTTGCTATTGAAAGTCACTCCAAATATAAGATAAGAACGGCTTATATAATTTTGTTTAATTTGACAATTGAAAAAAAAATAATCAGTCTTCACATATGGTTAACTCTTAGATCTAATAACCGAAATGTCAGTTATGTTTATGTTCGTTCATATTTTGATCAGTTCGAAACTGTAAAAAGCTCATGTATGCACTGCAAAACAATTTGATGGGACAGAAAACATTGATACCTATTTAGTTGAAAAATCCACCGACTTTAAACTACTTGCAAATAGTAAGTAGTACTTGTCGAAAATACTTCAGTTTTTTAAGTGCTTGTTGATCGAATTCGAAACTAGTGGTTATTTTTTCTACTCTGTTGTAAGGTGAATTTAGAACGAACTAGCGTTTTGATCACTGGAAAAAATGTTACTCGATAATTAATTGTTATTCGGTCAATGAAAAAGCCATTCAGTCACGTTTAACATGTTTAACATACTTGTGCACATGTTCGTTTAGTTTTTTGTCAACATGGTTCGAAGAAGTAAACTTTACAAAGGTTTACGATATCAGATTAATTACTTATGTATTGACAAGTTAGTCGGTTTGTTAAGCGAATCGATAGAAATTGGATGCAATCAAGAGTGTAGTCGATGGCGTTATCGTCTTAATTACACTTCATTTATGGGGATATTTACTTTTCCGTTGCCAATATTATGGACTCCGTAATTGATAAGTCTCTTATTGATATATGTGCATCCTGAGTGGAATTCGTCGATATTAGCATT